CTGTCACCCATATACTAGATTAAGTTACCGGTTTATGCCTTCAGCCTAACTCATCCCCAGTCAATATGGGCATTGTCGACACTCACTAGAAGGGAAACAGTGAGTTAAAGTACAGTTCTCTTTCCTTCTTCCTATCCCCAGTTGTGTTATTGTCTCTCTTTGTGTCTTGTACTCTTCCAAATAGTAATCAATTTGTTTTCAGTTGTTTTAATTTTATAAGGAAAAAGATTGGAACAAAATGCAATATTTTTTATTGTCCACATATTCCGTTTCTTCTTGAAAAGCTGTCTTAAAACAGGTTTTATTTTGTTCTGTTGGACTTTCACTATCACTGAAAATTCTTAAATATTTGTTTAATTATTTCATGCTTATCTATATATTTATTATTTATACAGAAATATGCCCAAGTACAAAATAAGTCACTCAGCGTAGAGCTCATTAGGGATAATTTATCTTTTCTTCACTTGGAACAAGTCAGCATTCTCAGCAGCTCATGGAGAGAAAAAAAAATGTCCTCAGGATATCTAAATACACTCTCCCTGAACTGTTTGGGCTGTTCAGGGTGTTAACCAGTATCCCTTCTGTGCCAACACAGAGTGACCAAAGGGCAACTCATAAAGCAGTCGTTTGGATTTTGCAGGGTTTTTCTATCCCATCCCTCCACATAAATAAAAAATTTCCCTGTTTAAGGTTGACAAAAACAATAACTCTCCCACCTTGTAGAATTTAATACGTTGACAAGGATAGCAATATACCACTCTGTAAATTGCCATCTGCCACAATCACATTCGATATGCTACAGAAAAAATACCCTGTCTTTTCATCATGACTAACATTTAACTATTCATTCTATTGTGCTGATGGATATCCTGCTCATTTTTGTAAGTTTTTCCTGATTGGTAAAAAAAAAAAAAAAAATGCTTTGATATACCCACGTCCTAATTGGTATCTAGGCTATATACCATCTTGGTACAGTTATACATACAGGACAACTACCCTGTGGCCTTGAAATTGAATTGGGTGTCAACTATAGGCAGTAAGACAGGCTTTTAAAATCCATGGTCCCAACATGTTCTCATTGGCAGTGGAAATTTTGCACCCCATCAGATTTCACGGGAAAACTTCAGCAGAGACTTGCTCTTGAAAGGCAGTAGTGAACCAAGAGTCCCTTTTGGGAATGTCCGCATGGACTGAGGTCCCAAACAGGAACTATTGGCACTAGTTCATCAGGGATGGCTGTCCCTAAGAACTCCAGGCCTTCCTGGACTCTCACAGTTGGCCACAAGGATTCAGTTAGAGTTCATGGGGCAGGAGAGAGGGGAGGAGGACAGCTGGTGTAGCCACAACGGCAGTGGAGATACATGTGTCCACACTCCTGACCTCACAGGGCCATCAGAGTAACAGGTGGGGTCTCTGTGCCAAGTATTTGATAAGTATGCTGTAGCTCCTTATGCCTCCACATTGAATTACACTGCTCTGAGATCAGATGCCCCAGGGTTGGCAGCAAATGTCATATTAGTCATTGCAGTTCAAGGCCCTGATGTGCTTACAGTCAGGGCGTTTGAAGAGAGGTCTTTCTGAAGCCCCATTGACCAAATACAAGAGGATGTTCCCACTTCCTGTATTTACTGCTTCCTCTGAGCACCCAACTTAGCAAAGTGGCTGCTTGTGCCCTCTGTCTGGAGGCTTTGTGCAAAGCACAATGAACAGGAGGGGGCAGCCCTGAGCTTTCCCCCAAAAGTCTGTTGAGAGACACCCAGACAGGTGAATTGTCTAAAGGCACAGGATTCTATGATGCTGGATGAATGTGCTGTGGTTCTGTGTCAGTCTATAACCCAGAGAACCTTGCAGCCCTCTAAGCCTTAAGCCTTGGGAGCAGTCTCCCCAAGTGTACTGTGATGAATTTAAGATGGAGAGCCTGTCTTCCTCAACAAGATTCTCAGCAGCTTCTTGGAAAACATTTCCTCTGCAAATCTGAGTAGACACTCGCTATACTGTTCTACCAGTTTAATCTTTTAAACAGTGTGCCTACTAAATGAGCCTCTTGACAGTTCATTGCTCGAGTTTGCTTCAATGAGCAATTCATCTTTTCTGTCTCTCTCACCAGCTGTGGCCCTCAGGATTCTTGAAATTCCCACTTAGATCTTGCCTCAACTTTTGGGTCACTCCTGGCATGAGGAAGGAGTTATCATTTTGTATGGTGTAAAGGAGTTTAAATCTAGAAATAAGCATTTTGGAGGTAAATCCTTGGTAGGGATTTAAAGATACTATGTGCCTGACATTCAAGAAGGAGGGATGGGCTTGACCCTAGGAATGTCTCCTCTGGAAATTGAAAGAGAAAAGGAATTTTTTCCTAGGCTATAAATAAGAAATGCAAACCTGCCCACATCTTCATTTTGGATAGTTTTAAATGATAGTGAATTTCTGATTTTTACAATTGCAACAAAATAAATTTATAATATTTCTATCCAAAAACTGTGATAATTTGCCACAGCAACACCAGGACTGTAATACCTTCATAACTCTTAAAACTCTCATTCTCCACTATATCTAATACTCATTCCTTTATAGCTTCCATTAGTATTTCCTACTTTCTCTTTTTTATTCAGCCATGCAGTAGTGCAAAAGTGTGCTTCATCTTTCCTCTATTTGCATTTACTCACTTTTCAAGCATACTATGACCAGATTATTTCATGGTTTCTAGCAACTATTTTCTAGTAAAATCCAATATGCATGGTTGTCATACACATGCTCCCTGTCCCTAGACTTGCATGTCCAATGGTCTCTCTGGCATCTGCATTTGAATGCATGGCAGAAATCAAACATACCATGTCTGAAATTGAGTTCCACATCTTCTGACAAAATCTGCTCTGCTCTTTTCTCGATCTCAGCACACTATGACTCTTTCTTTCCAGTTACTCAACTAAAAATTTCTGGAATTAACTTTGATTCTGATTTTTTGTCCTCCCATTATACATGCAGCGTGTTAGGAGATTATGTTAGCTCTTCCCTTAAAATACAGTCACGTATATCCATCTGGTCCAAGCGCACATTATTTACTATTTGAATTCTTACATAGAAGCCCAAGAAAAGATTTGCTTACCTGTTTGCTGTGGAGTATTCCATAAATTTACTGACCTGACTGATCCTTTTAACCTACATCACTCTGTGTAACTCACATGCTTAGATCTTAACAGTACCCCACCACTGCTTTTAAAATCAAAGTGAAGGTTTTTTTTTTTATTGAAGCATGTATAGGCTGTCCTTATTTTCACTCTAGCTGTTATTATCTAAGCCCGTATTCCTTTTTCACAAAAATTACCCATCTTAGCCCAATTTCTAACATTCAAATATTGCTGGGATATGTTTTCCTCATAGACTTAACAAGAGTAATATTCTTACTGAATTTTGTCTTTTCATCTTACATTAAATTACTCCTATTCATTCTTCCCACCACTGCGCACTCTGCTTTCTGAATTTATTTCCCTCCAAATCACAATCACTAATCAGGAACTATCTGACTCTAATTTACAAGCTAGTAAATTATTCTATCAGTTTCTCAGATGCTTGAAGAAAGCATGAAACTTGGGGGTAATGAAATAACATTTTGTTTTTCATGACAATATCGGCAAAGCAAAGAAGGAGTTTTGTGCTGGTTTTCTTGACTCAACTGTTAGAGCATGAATTACAGCCCAATACTTCCTAACTAGCAGTGGGTTCAGGTTCTGCAGAAAAATCATGAATTTGGATAACCCACACCATTTGTGTTAGGTAATTAATGCAAAAAGACTCACTGGAGAGAAATATTTACTTTATAAGACTGTAAATTACTTTTCATTTCATTGGAGGGAATTAATCTATCTCTCTGACAGCAAGTTAATGTATTTTATGCCATATAAAGTTGTTGAAAAATAGTTTGGAAGGAAGGACAGTCAGTGTCCATGTATACACGTCATAACTCATGCAGAATTCTAGCAGCCTGTTACTCATGTTCAAAACTAAATATTTTTTAAATATTTAATTCACAGTCTGCTTTCTTTACTTGATTTTGAACGTGTTGTTTAATTTAGCTTTTGCCTATAAAATAATGTCTGGAACACAAATAATGTTGTAACTACCATTTTGCTGAATGAATAAATCAACAAAAGGTAGAATAAAAAATAGTTATTAGTATTGCCCATATATGAGAATATGATTATGAAACTAAGTTGAAGTAAACATTTGATGTAGCAGTTAACATACCTCCAATCAATACCTACCCTCAGTTTCAGCCACTATTAATACACAAATTTGCAGACAAAAATATGATTGGTTAAATGACCCCTGATTTAGTTATTTGCTTCCAGATATTTGAAGTGAAAAAACAGATGGCAGATCTCTGCTATCTCTCTCCTTTTGTCTATTTACCTTACAGATAAACAAAAATATTAAAAATAAATTAAATAGATTAATAAGATGTCCTGCTTACCACAAGTAAAACATAATAGTGCAAATTTAAACAAGGTGTGATAGATTGAGAAGTGTTTGTTTTAAGTAAACAGGAAAGCATAAAAAGTACATAGTGACTTTATGTTTAATTTTGGAAATAAAACTACAAACAAAAAAAATCTTTTCATAGGAAAAATCAGGAAGTAAAATGCACCAAAACTTAAATCTTTTTAAAAGCTAATTTATTTCTATTTTTATTGGAAAAGCAAATAAAATCTGTGAAGAGAAGGAGAGGCAAAGAGAAAGATCCTCCCTCTGCTGGCCCACTCATCAAGTGACCACAATAGCCAGAGCTGAGGCAATCCAAAGCCAGGATGTAGGTACTTCTCTGGGAACTCCGCGTGGGTGCAGGGTCCCAAGGTTTTGGGCCATCCTCTGTTGTTTTCCTAGGCCACAGACAGGAAGCCAGACTGAAAGTAGAGCAGCTGGGACATGAACCAGTGCCCATATGCAATCCCGGGTACCTGCAAGGTGAGGACTTAGCCATTGAGCTATCATACCAAGCCCAAAACTTAAATATTTTTAAGGAGATTACTGTTTACTTTTATTGTCTGTACTTTCATTTTTGTTTTCAAAACTTTCTACAATTTTGGGCATTACTTTATTACTTAGAGAAAACAAACACCCTTGTATTAAAATATTGATTACTTCATAGTGTGACAAGGTCATCCACCAGAGAATACAGACACTGTTTTCCTAGTCATATCTACCAAAACAAAATCTTCTGTGCACAGCATCAAGAAAGAAAATATTCTGGTACTCATGTTCCATAATTCATGGTCAGTATTCATCAGCAAATGGATATTCAGGATGAGTAATGCAACTGAAAGAGAATAAGGAATAATAATTTATTATTAACTCTGTCTTCATACTAAAAAAGAGAATATTTCAAAAGATGTGTCTAGAATAGACAAAAAACAGAATTCACATGTTCTCACTTCTACCCAAGCAAGATCTGTACATCTGTGTCTAATGAGTAAGTGGTCCCTGAACATAGAGCCTCTAGAATAGATAGTACCTAAAAAACAGATTCACAACAATACTTGAGTTTAAACAACTCTGCTAGCTCAGAGGTTAAGTCATAGAACCTATTTCTCCTCTGAAATCTACAGGGAAGTTCCTTCTTCATATCTATCCCCAAGCCAGGACTGCTTTGCATGAAAAGGGAATTATTCCCATTTGAACATTTGTGCAACACAGGATATCCTGTGAAATAAACAATAGGGGTCACTTACAATAGAAACCTAGAATATCGGAAACTTTTGTGGAGGCCATCCAATTCTTTCATGTCCTCTGCAGTCAATTCAAACTCGAAAATCTGAAAGAGACGGAAGAACCATTTTGATATTTTTCCATGGAAGCTTCCTTCCACTTGGATATGTGAGAGTGTTCCTTAGAGGCTGGTGAGAATAATTACATTAAGAGAAGCATTTTCATCTTTATCACCTTTCAGATAAATTCAGCTTGAGAACTTATGCCCAAGTTCTGTTACTTGTATCTTGAGACATACAATTTATCAATTCCCAGGCTTACTAAATAAAGCAAATTTTTCTTCCAAACATAAGGACCATATGCCCACACCCTTGGCATGGTTAAAGGCACTTCCTTCTTTACTATCCCCTTCTACTTGACCCAGCTATGAACTGAAACAAAGCCTTAAAATACATAATAACCTTTCCAAAAGAGCCTGTTGATATCAAGAGAAAATACTGTTCCATTCCTGAACCACACCATTTCCTCACCTCATACCTTCCAAAACCAGTGTGCTTACAGTATGTTTGCTCACCCATTTTAAATACCTTTCTTGTTGACCTTAAAGACACAAGAATCTTAGTTCAAGGAATTTTCCCTTTGAACAAATATCTTGCCCTGAAATCCAATTTTGTTTTTATTTACACTGTCTGTGTAACCCCTTAATAACAACGAAAGATTTCTACTTAAAAAATAGACCAAACTCCCTACTACATCCAGGAAGTAACTTCACAGAAAACTCAAGGCTGTAACTATCTACATGATAGGTTAGAAAGTGTTTAAGTAAAAGGAAAAGCATAAAAGGTACATAGTGAATATGTGTTTCATTTTGGAAATAAAAGTACAAACAAATCAAACATCCTTTCATAAGAAGAATCCTGAAGTAAAATGTAGCATGACACATGTTCATGTGTCAATCATCTGTCTCTATTCTCATGTATCTGTTATCTGTGTCATCTGTCCATCCTTATTATCTATCCATCTACTCCTCATTAACTTATTCATTGGTCCTACATTAAAATTACTCCAGAAGAAACATGGTTGTCATATAAAATGTTTTACAATACTGAGTTGACTAAAAATATAATGATTTTTTGCAATGTTTATATAATGAAATAAACTGAAGTGATTTTGTAAAATATTTTCACAAAAATATATCTGTTGATTTTCTCTGAAATGTGTTGACTTCATCTATACTTATAGGAATTAAGTAAATACATTATACATAATATGCTCCAAGTGGCATCTTTTTAAGTACAAAAATCATAATGAAAATATACCTGTATTGTTAAAATGGGAGGACGTTCAAAAATCCTTAATAGGCTAAAATAAAATAAAGACCACTGGTTGACCTAAGGGATCTGGATGTATATAAGGAAGCATTTGACAAATAATGTTACCTATTGATCCATAAGGTTATATCCAGCTTCCTACTTGCCATGGTCTCTACCAGGGCAAAGATGATTAAAAATGGCACAGTAGGTGTCACTTTATTGAGCTCTAAGTCCAAACAGCACACTACCATACAAACAAGTAAATTTAAACTAATAAAAATACTTATGAGCCAAGCCAAGTACTATGAAGGTTAAAGAACAAGTGCAGTGGAGCACTTCGTTTCTTTAATAATTAATCCTCTCTCAACTTGAGCTTAAAGTTCACATAGGAGTTCAAGTGCAGAAGATGAAGAAGAATCTATACTTGGAAAGTCTCATTTTAAAAAGGCATTGAAATTTATACAGGCACTAGTTGCCAACCTAACTTAAAGGTGATAAAACCTTGGACTGTGAGTCCAGCATTCTCTTTTCCCATCCAATAAGATGCCCCTTATAGGACCCTGAGGTGATATTTGTGTATAGTAAGACTTGGAACATGCCCTCCTGTAAAAGACATGATATTTTCACACATTCCTCTGAAGAAGTATTACCTGGGTGTTCTCTTTGATTCTCTTCTCATTGAAGCTTTTGGCCAGGACCACCACCCCACGCTGCACAAGGTAGCGTAAAGAAACCTGAGCTGGTGTTCGGTTACGTTTCTTGGCAATGGCATTCAGGACTGGGTCTTCCAAGAGATATGGACTATTCTGATCAATCCTAGGGTGGAAATATACACAGATATAATATTAAAGATGTAAGATGTAAAACCAAGACTGTGTTCACCTCGTAACACATGCCCCTCGGACAATTCACAGAAATATGTACCCCATGGTAATGTTAAAAAAAATTCATAAATATAAGATTCATTTACAATGGCAGTAACTGAAAGCAATTAAATTGGTCATCAGTAGGTGAGTGAACATTTGTAATATTTATGCCCAAATACTGGAATATTTCATCAATATAGATATTTTCCACTGTGTGTTGTCAATATTCTGTGGGGTATAAGTTTCAAGATCCTCAACGTATACCTGAAGTTACAGTTAATACAGAATTTTATGTATAATATAATATTTCCTATCTACACATACACAATTTGAATGACTCTTCTGTCTTAAGAAGCACTTATTATGCACTGTCAACGACACGTTTGCAGGTTGAGGTACAAGAGCAAAACTAGCACAAATTTATTTTTTCTTCATTATAATTTCACAGATAAAAAATTCATTCTTAACAGAACCTAACAACTTCAGCATATCTTTCTTCCTTTTTTAACTGAATCAAGTGTTTTTACATTCTCACTCGGTGGAAGCATTTTACAGCTCCTCTTTGGCACATCTGAATCACATCATCATTAAGTTGTGTTTTGAGATCATTATATACTGTCAACCATGGATGATTTGAACACAAGCACTCAATGCTGAGACACTTGATCTGATAACCAAGACAACTAAGAAGTGACTACTGGGCGTGTCACCACAGTGTGAATAGTTGAGATATTATTCATGCCTCTTGGCCTCAGCCTTTCTCTCTTCCTTTTTTTCTCTCCATTTCTCTCCTTTCAAATAGAATGAATAAATACTTTAAGATAAAAGCAAGAGATGTATAAATTGCTTATTTCAGAATTATCCACTTAGTATTTTAGGACCACAATTGATTTTAGTAACAGAATGTACAATCAACATAAAGTGGAATGAACTACAGATTCTTGCAACTATATCCATAAATCTCACACAATACTGAAAAAATAATTTTATACTAATAACTTCTTTTATATTAAGTACTAAAATATACAAAATTGCTATAAGGTGAAAATAATGTGATTTCCTAGAGATGAGAAGGAATCATCTCAAGAGAAGCACAAATGAATATTCTGGGATAAAGTTCTGTATGAGTTATGCAGTATATCCATCTGTCAAAACTGTATATCTAAAATATATGCATGCTGATTGATACAGACTTAAAACTCATTTTTAAAAATCATATTTGGAGGGAGACAGGCATTTGGCTTAGTGGTAGAGACACCATATTCTACATCACAGTGTTTGAGATTGAGCCTCAGTCATAATCCTGATCCCAGAACCTGAAGTACTGATGGCTCAGATAATGCATCCTAGGCACCCACATCAGAGATTGATTCCGAATTCTCACTTCCTGTCTTTGCTATAGTCAAGTCTGAGTAATTTCAAGCACTTGGGGAGTGAATCAATGAATAGAAGCCCTAGCTGTCAGTACATTCTTCTGAATCATAGATAGATAGATAGATAGATAGATAGATAGATAGATAGATAGATAGATAGATAGATAGATAGATGAAGCACAGTAAGTTAAGCCACTGCTGGAAATGCCTGCGATTCCAAATTTTGGGTCAATTCTGGTTCTCTGCTTCAAGTGAAGGCTCATGCTTTTTTAACTAGGAAGGCAGAAACTAAAGCTCCCAGTGTTTTGGTTCCTGTGACCCATGTGTATGATCCAGAACTTTCAGGCTCCTGACTTTAGCCTGGCATAGCCCCATTGTTTTTAGGGCATTTAGATGTTGATCTCTTTCTTTCTCTTTCTCTCTCTCTCTTCCCCCTTTTCCATACACACACACATAATCATACACATGTATTCACAAATACACATACACACATATATGGAGTAACGTTGGGAACAGATGAACATATATGTGAATCCAGAGTGGGAGAATGTAGGTGACACTGAATCTGGGTTTTGGTACAGAGGAAATTCAATACACTATGTTGTGCTTATTTTTTTATGTCCTAGCTATTTTATAATGAAGTATAAAAACCTATTTTAAGTGTTCCATTATTAATAGTGCTGTTGATATATGTTAATTCTCATATTCTCATTACCAGGTCGGATCTCTTTGTGATCCCAAGGCACTGAAAGCAACAAGAACAATGTCCTTGGACTTGCAGTACTCCAAGAGTTTGCTCTGGTTGAAATAAAAATGGCATTCCACCTGTCAAGACCAAAAGGTGTAAGAATACATGAGCCAATAACTACACGCACCAATTAAGATACTGCTTGTAGCATCCATAGCGCATTAAGTTCAAGTATCACCTCTACTTCTAATACTATGTTGGAATAAGTACTACATTATTTAAATAGCTCATTCTCCCTAGGCAATTGCTGAAAAAGCTCCAAATCCCAGCAGATGACAGAAAGATGAAGTAAATATCTTCTTATTCTTTTTTTATGAATGTCTTAAATCATTAAAATATCTAATTTTCAAACTTAATTTCTCTAAATGTCAGCTTTTACTAAAAGAAACCAGAATTCTTTCATGACTGATATCAGATATCAGCAGGAAATCGAAAAATTCAGCATAGAAAAGCTTATACTCTTAAAAAACAAAGAAAATAAAGTCTGTCAAAGAGACCAGAAGCTCACATGAAGAAGCTGCTGGTAATCAAATGGTGGAAATCTAAGTGTATAAAAAAATGCTATCCAGCATGGTGGTGCTGCAAGTTAAGCTAAAAGGGAGCTGGTTTGAGTACTTGCTGTTCCATTTTGAATCCAGCTCCATTCTAATGTGCAACAGAAGAGAGAGCAACAGAAGATGGCCAAAGCACTTGGAACCCCATATCCATGTGGGATATTTAAATCAATTTCTAGCATCTTTGCTTCAACCTAGCCAAGCCTTAGCTGTTCCTATTCCATCTGGGGAGTGAGCAAGCAGATGGAACATTTTTTCTCTTTCTGTCTCTGTCTATGGCTATTTCTATATCCGTATCGTTGTATCTCCATCTCTGTAACTCTGCCTCTTAAATAAGTAAGTAAATCTTAAATGAAAGAAAAGTTACTGATGGTGATCAAGTATTTCATTCTTCAATTTATCTTCAATTTATGGGAAGCACAAAAGGAAAATGCTCAACAATAGCACAGACCTCTTCAGTGAAAAAAAATTGTGGGAAATTGTCAGAAGGAAGAACTTCATTTATTACACAAATGAATTTGAGAAAAGAAGGAAAAAATGAGATCATAGGAATGGAAGTTTGAGAAGGAAAAGTATAGCTGAAAAAAGGGAGGAGAAAACAAAAGGGAGAAATTATAGATGAAAAGAGACTTGAGAGACCTATCTCCTGATCATAACAGGTGGATCTAGAATCCACTCTAGTTTGAGTAGAGTATCTGTGAAAATGTTATATTAGTCATGTTTTAACATTCATAATATTTAATGACACAAATAAAACTTGCAAAAAATGTAGGCTGGATGATGGTATTCTGGACAACAACATCTAGTTTAAAACTGTATACATAATGTTCATATGTTTTAAAGATATGTACTACAATATTTTCAGAGCAATTAATAAAATATCCCCTTCAAATAACCAAGTGGTAGTAGTACATATGAGAATGCTTGCAAAAGTTTCTAGAAAAGTAAAATTAGATTTACTTTAATGCAAAAAATATGAATTGATCATAGAATTTTATAGGGTACATTTTTCATGAATTTTTGAAGACCCCTTATAGAAATGAATTTGAAAAAGATTGTTCATGAAAACAAACTCACTTTTTCAGTCTGTTTCTCATGCTCTTTTGGCAGTATTTTCATTTATGGTAAGTTTTGATTTGGCTTTTTCTCGTGTCACTCTAACCTCTCTGAAAGATTTTCCACTAACTGCATGCTACTAAATCCAACCTTTTTCCATCAGGATGGATACCTAAGTCTGATACCACAATCTCCTCAATTCTCATTTCTCTCTACCTGTGTGCACACTTCTGTCTGCTTGCTTGTGTTTCTTCGGCCCTCAACAGTAGACTTTCCTGTCTTCTTCCATTTCATCCTATCACTTTCTCCAGGAATACTAATCCATTTCTGTTTTATTATCCAGAAAGTTATGCCCCCAAAAGTCTGTCTCTCCAGCACAGACCAACTTCCTGATTGCCATTCTAACACTGACAACTCATTATCCCTATTTGAATGATTCATACAAACCTGAGACTTAATTTTCAGTAATGAAGCCATGCTTCCCTCATTCCACTAATTTTTCCCTTTTCTGGTGTTTCTTATTGCCATAAAAGGAATGATAATGTGTGCAATGGATATCAAGCAACAAACATAAGAAATATGAATTAAGGAAGATGAATGTGAAGAACAGATATAAGAGAAGACCCTGGGGTGAGATATTCACCTGGTTGCAGACAGGCTTGTACTTGAGCCCTGGCTTGTTCAGTATCAGCTCCAGCTGCTTGCGATTGAAATTGGACACTCCAATGGACTTGGTTAATCCTGCATCTTTGCACTTCTCCAGAGCCTGGGGAGGTGGGAAATGTGTAGTTAAACATTTAGTGTACTCTGTTTTTTTTTTTATTTATCACAGGAGTTTCTAAAAATTGTATGTATTTTTGAACATTTATAATAATTTTGCTGCAACAATTTAATTACATAAATCTATTATTTCCTAATGCATTTTACTGGCAGGCAGATAGATTTTTGCCTGCTCATTGTATCACAATCACACTAAGGAAAATGAATCTTGTATTGTTTTAAAATTCCCCTTTACAACCCTTGCCCTTTCAATGGAGTCTAATTTGTGTTAAGGTTTTAGTTATTTTAACAATGGTAAAGAATCAGACATAAAGATGTGCTCTAAATTTTCTGCCAGCAGAGGTTTTGTTGACACCTATTTCCCAAAAATGTGAAAAAATGTTATGGGCTATATGAGGGCAGATTCCACTCCTTTTAAGAGCACCCTTGTGGTAAGTCAGGCTGCCTCTTTCCCTCACTCTAGAGGCGTCCTTATCCTATCTTGGATATAACTCTGCCTCTTGTTAAGTTTGTTCCATAGGAACACTTGGGAGGACTAACTGTTTCAAACTTCTTTGTTGCACAAAGAAATGTCTGTTAATCCAAACAGGTTCAGATTGGGGCCAGCATTTCAGCGTAGGAAGTTAAGCCATCAGTTATGACATAACCATTTCATATTGGAGCATTAAAGCACTGCTTTGAATTGTGACTTCTCTGCTTCAAATCTAGCTTTCAGGTAATGCACCAGGGAAAGCAGCAGAATATTGCCCAAGTACTTGTGCCCATGATGCCCATGTGGGGAATCTGAATGGATTTCTAGAATCTTATTTTTTGCCTTACTGGAACTAAGTCATTTTATCCATTTTCAAGGGATGACAGGCAGATAGATATGTTTTTCCTCTGTCTCTTGCTCTCTCTGTCCTTTAAATAAAACAAATATTTGAAAAAAATTAAGAATTCAAAATTCTTAGAGGTTATCTTGTTTAACTGCCTCATTTTATAGACAGGAGCAAATAATACAGGTTCTGTCTGAGATCAAATATCTGCTGTGTATCAAAAAACTATCTTTTCTGGTCCCCATGTAGTACTTTCTACCTTTGTTTTTGGTGCCTTTCACTGTCAATACATACCTCCCATGTGTCACGGAGGTCCACTGGATCTACAATAACATGCCCTTTGGCATCCTTTGGTAGAAATTCATTCCCAGGCTGGAAATCAGAAAGAAGACAGGATGAAAAAGGTTTTCTTTCAGAATGGGCTTTCTGATTCCTATGGACATTTGTCACACAGCCTTCAGGAAGCTGTAATTAACTGCAGTGTGTTTGAGTGTACATGTTCATACACGTGTCTGTAAGGGATGACTAAGGGAGGGGAAGAAAATCAAAATCATCTAAGACACTGTAGAGGTTAGGCTACCCCATTACATCTATCTTCTACCCACAAATAGCACTAAAGTCCACAACACTGAGGTTCCCTACAGTTGTGTTAAATTGATTTCCTATGGACAGTCATGATTGGAGGACTGTAATAATTAGAAGTTTAATTCATTGTTGATAATAATCTGACTCTTACATAGCAAGGGTATCAGAGGTGCTCAGTCAATGTCCAAAGTGAGAAGAGGTCAAATCAGCAAAGTCCAAAGAAGCCTGGCCATTCAGATTGCCTCTCTCTACTTTGAGATAAAAAGTACAAGTGGGAGTGGTGTTTAATCTCTGAAGTATGACTTTCTCCCTGCATCTCTGAATTTGTGGTCATTCAACATCCTGGAGGACTCTAACTGCTAATGATTCAATAAACTGCAATAAAATAATACATATGGTATTGCACTCAACTGCCTGAAGTGCAAGCAGTAAGGTCACCATACTTCAATTCTTCTGAAAGGTGGATACTAAGACTGCAAAAGTCTTAGTGGTGAGACTCAATTATCTAGGAAAGTCAAGTCATTTAGCAGTTTTACTTCCATCATTAAAGTCTACCTCTCTCAAAAGGAACATAGACTATCTAAATATCAAACTGACATAACATAATGCAAAATATTTATGAACCAAACCCATTAAGGACACAACAGAAAATGAAAAGCTTACCTTCATAGCAGCTGGAATATGTATAATGAAAAGATCAACATAATCCATTTGAAGTTTCTTCAATGACATTTCCAGTGCTGGTCGAACCATTTCTGGCCGATGGAATGTAGTCCAAAGCTGCAACAACACCAACAAAAGGATAAAAATTGACTTTTGATTGCATTGCACTTTTGGAGGCCAAAATCAGACATTATTATTAAATAATTACTGTTATGAGTAGCAGTGCATTATGAAAATCTAGTACTAACAAAGCTGGAACATTTCAGAACAATGAAAGTATCATCTTTTCTTGCTATTTTATTTAAAAGATAAAATGATAGAGGATGAGATGGGGAGGAAGAAATACAGTGAAATTATATCTATTTGTTCACTGCTCAAATTCCCAGAACAGCCAGAGTAGGCCAAGAAAAAGTCATGAGTAAAGCCAAATCATTGAGTCATCATCTGGTGCCCCTAAGGTGTATCAGAAGAAGGGGCATAAAATTGGAGTAGTGGTAACTTGGTAAGCACCTCAAAATCAAAGGTGTTGAAACCCATTGTGCCATACAGGCCCAAATCAAGACTTTTGTGTTTTCTGTTTCTATGATATGCTGCCACAATTGTAAAAAAATAAAATACTCAAATGCAGAACAATTTTCTTTTCATAATAACATAACTGAAATGACAGTATCCTGTAGTCTCTATACCTTAGTAGTGTAGAATATGTCCTCTCTCTTCACAGTACCATCAGCAATCTTCTCTCTAACAGCCGCCCCAATCTCCTCCTCATTTTCATAGAAGTGTGCTGAATCAATGTGACGGAAACCAGCCTCAATGGCCACTTTGGTGTACTCAAAAACCTTACTTTTGGGAACCTGTAAAGCAGAAACAAGGAGAGTTGGTGATCTGTCCAACTCAAAGAGGAGCAGAGTACATCCTCAGGCATATTCTCACCCTTTGTTGCTGCCAACACCACTCACTTACCCTTAGTGGTTGTTCTTGGAAATGCACACTAAGCTGCAAAGTAACCCCTTGTCTGAAACGAACTGGTGAAATGAGCTTCCCCATAGAACTTGGAAAATCAAGTCTCGCTCATCAAGTATAAATTATAAGGGAACATAGCAGTTGAAACTCACTGAAAATTAGTTCCTAATATACATCGTTCACAAGTTGCACCAAACTAAGCTCTTCAAGTTATTTATGATTCTTCTGTCTCCTTCATTTCACAAGACATCTCAGTGGACATTTACTCAGCAAGCAATTATTGAATACTTCCTGTGCTGTTAATTGTATATTACACACTAAGTATTGCAGATTCAACCACGAACAAAAGCATAATCTTCCCTGCTATGTGGGTATTCTGAGAATATGGATTAGAGATGGTATTTAAAAAGAAAAAAATTAAATAAGGAAACCAACGGCAATATATCACAAAAAGATGCAAAAAGAATAGTTTACAGGACCTGTTCCAAAGTGGAAAGTATACAGGAGGCAGCTGAGAAAACAACTAGAGCATTTTTCACCTAAAAATGTATTATAAAAGAGTAAGCCACAGCACAGGGCTGTAAAGTGAAATACATTGGAGAGAGTGTTTTAATATACACCCAGAGAGCAGGTCCTGCCAATGGAATAGCCAGAACTAAACATTCCTCAAACTGGAAGATATGCTAATCATCAACAAAGTCCTGACTTGGGAAAACACTGGCCAAATTCACAGAAATTAAGAAGGTCAGAGTGAGTGCAATGCTGCATGTTTAAAAAAAGAAAGAAAGTCCTTCCATTTATTTTTTAAAATGCATCCCTCAACCTCCCTTCATTTTTCACTATCATCATCAGTTGTACTATTTGCCTGGATATTGGCAACAACCTTTCTGATTTCTCTCTATATATTCCTGCATATTTTCAGGATAAATAACAGGTGTTAAAGGATTTCCTTTGTGTCCTTCTTTGGTTTTCTCTAAAGCAACCCTTCTAGAAGACACCTTGATAATTAGTATATTTGAATGATTTTTAAATGTCATTTTATTTTTAATAGAGCTTTCAAGTTAATCTCTGTTCATATGTGAAAACACTGGAACTCTTCTGAAGTTCACATATGCACAGGCAGGAAACTGTCCTATCTTCAGCATTCCCCTTCTGTTTGACTGTAATAATCCCATGATTCACATAATTTTTCCTCTGACATCATGCCTGTTTTAAACTCAGCTTAGGCCTATCCTGAAAGCCTTCCAAGGACAACCAGCTACTCCGAACTCATCCTTTCTGAACCTCTGAACTTCCCCAGGCATTTCATGATACAATATTGAGCACTGGGGCAGTGTATTGCACAGAAGATTAATCTCCCAAATGACATAATCACATCCCATTTGGGAAAGCCTAGAATCCAGTCCCACCTCCTCTTTATATGTAGCTTCCCCATGATACACCTGAGGAGTAGTGGATAGTGGCCCAAGTAATTGGCTTCTGGCAACAACATAGGAGTCGCAGATGCATTTCCGAGCTCCTGGATCTAGGCTGACAGAGAGAGACCCACCTGTGGGGTCATTTGGGTAGTGAACCAGTGAGTAGAATATCTCTCCCTCTGTATTTCAAATAAGACATTTTTTTTTTCAAATGAATACTGTTACCTAGCTGCCCAGGTGTGCACCAAATTTTTTTTTATGGAGAAATGAATAAATCTACTACACAAACTCCCATCATAGACTGGTAGTATCAGCTAGGAGCTTAATCATGGTTGTTAATTGATTAATTGATTTGTCAGTTAATAATTACACATATGACTTGAAATACCTTGATCTTACTATTAAGATCAAAAGGTTACTACCCCCCCCCACCCTCTTTTGAAACTGGGCCTGCGTACAGTTTAATGCAGGAGACAGATAGCATCAGCTCGGACTCCTGTAGTCTCCCAGCTTCTCTTGATAAGTGTTCTTGTCCTACTTTTTAAATAGCAAACCAACCATTTGGTAAATTAACTCACTGCAATAAAGGGATGGTAGTACCTGCCCTAAACAGTTCTAGTCGTTTAGTCATGAGTTAATTTATTTTCACTAGAGGTAACAGCTCAAGGTTGTTAAATCCTGTCTCAAGGGTTCTTCCAGCCCATAGGAGCTCAAGACCCAAAGAAAAAAGTAACTGCCACCTACCTACATGTTGGTCCCAAACTGACAGGAAATTGCTTTGCCATCATCAAAATTTCCTGTAGTATATATTAATGACAAAACAAAGGAGGGTCACCCAGACCAACCAGGATCTTGGACAAAAGCGAAACACTTACCTCTTGTTCCCAGTTTCAATCTATAAACGCTTTACCCTAACTCCTCAGGAAGCTCAGAAATGAGGATTTGTCCAACTCTGCTCTGCGATTTCCATTAAACACATCTTTTCTTGCACCACTACAATGGTAATGATTAGTTTCTGCACGTAAGGCAACTTAATCCAGTTTGGGGATGCTATTTATTCTCCCCATAAGTTTGGGTTAACCTATGAAGCCATGTCAAACACTGATTTATTTTAGTGTTTATTGCAACCTGCAAAGTGACTGAAATCAACATGCTGCTTTCATACACAAGGGTTTCATGAATCTGTCCTTTGATCAACAACCAAATAACTGAGAAGGATTGAGAAGGAAAAAATGACACAGCAAGATTTAAGTACCTCATCTCACAATAACATTTACAAGGCTTGCCTCAAATTTCAAATGATTACAATTTAACCACTAATTCTGAAATACTGTGCTTACATCCTTCCCAGAAAGCAAATATATAGAGACAAAGAATTTCACAACACAAGCACCAGAGCATGTTTCTCTTTCAGCAAATGATTGAAGAATTGACTGAAGTCACATTTGGAAAAAAAAAACCAAGATCACAGTGTTAAAGAAGCTTCTATTCTAGCTGGTGACTCTTACAGTCTGGATTTTAAGCACACACTAGTAAGATTTTGTTCTTCTAAGTGGGGATTATGGTTCTGTTTGTTCCATTCTCATGATATTGTTCTGTCTTTAACAATTGGTATAAACACTAGGTACAACACTGGGTACATAAGGGATAATCATGCCATTGAAAACAAACTGTAGTCATGCCTTCAAGCATGCATTCTGGTTGGTGTCCAGCTGCTCCATGCCCTATCCAACTTCCTGCTTGTGGCCTGAGAAAGCAAAAGGAGGATGGTCCAAAGCCTCGGGCCCTTACACCCAGGGAGAGGACATAGAGAAATCTTCTTACTTCAGATCAGCTTGAGCCTCTGTGGAAATCTGGGAAGTGACCCAACAAAAGGAAAATCAGTCTGCCTGCCTCAGTGTCTCCCTATAAATCTGTAATTCCAGTTAAAATAGATGAATCCTTAAAAAAAAAAAAAGAAGAGAAAAGAAAAATAAACTGGCTCTGACAGCTATTATATGTAAAATTTCACTGCATGTCTATTGCATAGTGGAGCACATTGGTCTGTTACTATGGGATAAGTAAGGAAGCATTTTTAAAACTGCTGCTACCTCACTATGAACAGAGTTTAACATTTTAACTTCACTACAGTGAATTCTGTGATTCAGCTTTTAGTGTTCTTGATGAGCAACAAAATTTTGACCCACTTGTCAGTTTATGTCTCTTAAGTTTAATCTTCTAAGGTTTAAGATATTGTGGTTTTTTTCCATGTGATGATATGTGTGATGACCAAAATTCTCTGAAAAAATAATTTTGGTCCTAACACACTCAGCAAAAGTTTTCTACTTTAAGACAGACCTGAACATATAATTTCCTGTTGTGCTGTTTGAACTTCAGGAATTTGTAACAGAGCAGACTGGCTCTGACTGGGGCAACAGAAGAGCATAGATAGAGCAGCTTGAGCTTTGCATTTTTGAAACATAACAAATAACGAGTCAATATTCACCCAGGAGATTATTGGGGAATTAACTGAGATGATGCTTGCACAGTACCTAATACTCATGATAAGAATTCCATATATGTTAGGAAATAACAATAATAGTACTATAAAACCACATAATTCTTCGCCTCTGAATCCCCACAGTCAACAACTTGTCCTGTTAATGAATAAAAGAACTCTGTGACCTAGAAAGATACGAATTAGAGACAGAAATAGAGACCCAGATGGATCATCCCAAACTGCCGACTGTCCATCAAGTGAAGGCTCCTGTCTGCTGACAACCATTCCAGGGCAGTTAACATTCACTCTCTCGGTCTCCCTGGGGTTCACTTACTTTTGAAGGGGCAGATGTACCAAATCCAAGCCTTGGCATGTAGTGGCCATCATTCAGCTTCACATAATGACTGTGTTTGGGATTCATCCTCGTCCACACCCAGCAACACACCTGACTTACTTTCCTTCCTCTTCCTGTGTCCAAATGGAAAACAATGTTCCACAGTTTTTTATTTGTACCAGCCACAAGATAGGTGGAGCCAAGATTGCAACTATAAAGGATTCCAAAATAAAACTAGAATCAATTCATTGATTCTTTCATGGATCTTTCATGTCTCTGGAGATATATCTTAAAGGAAATTAGGTGGATATGCCATGCATGCCATAGGAATTTGAATTTCCTCTTCAGCATTTTTTCACACTTGAACTTTACCTTCAAAATTAACTGTCAATGAGTTTTTGAGAATCACACTAGACTTATTTTACAAGCAGCAAAATTATCTTAGACTGACCATTTCTAAACACTAATTACGCTACATGATCTTTCCTAAATTTCCATACTATCCATTTTATCATTTTTCCCACCAAAAGAGAATGTATTCAGAATTTCTTGATGCTTGGTCTGAAGCACCCACATGACGAAAGTCCTTACACCACAGACTTCTACTTTGATGATCTTATTCCTCTGTATCAAAACCTCAGTTTGCCTTTTTATATTTTCTGATTTATTTCCTTGAAGTAACAGTAAAAAATTTTCAAACATTATTAATACATTTTTGCATTATTGTTTTACTGGGGCGGAGGGGAATAAAACCTGTGTTTGTTCAGCATGTACTCATCATCTATGAAAACGCTTACCCATTGTAAAGCACCTATTCCTGCGTCCTATCCCTTGTGAAGTCTACACTTCTTTCAGTGAGCTTGATCACTCTTACTTGTGCATCATGCAACATATCAAAATAGGTTTAAAAAAAAGTGCATTAGTGAAACTACACTCTCAATTAGTAAGAAATCCTTATGTCAAAAACTCCCAAGCAGTGCCTTATTTATTGATACTATTATCCCATGTTTCCCCTATATTATAAGTTGTGCAACTGATTATTTTACAGAATAATATTCTTGTTTTCCTCTTGCCTCTCTGACCAGTATAGGTAACAGTTCTTTTACCTATTACTTCACATATTTTGTATTTATCCCAACATTGTAACATCTTTAAATGCTATGAATACACATTATTAATTGGTGAAAATGTTGAACTAAACAAAAATGGGACCAAATTCTGTCATGACCGTCCAATATATTGTTTGATAGACTTTAATACTCTTGAGTCTGTCATGCAATATGTTAAAAATTTGTCTCATACACTTTTGTTATATTTGTATATATTTTGTACTAAGTGATTTCTCAAAGTGAAGACTTTATTCCTTCTGTCTTCTTCTGATCAAGCAATCTTTATAATCCAATGTAAAATGGTATTTATAGGGCCTGGCGCCATAACACAGTAGCTAAAGTCCTTGCTTTGCTTGCACTCGGGATTCCATATGGGCACTGGTTTGTGTCCTGGCCACTCCACTTCCCATCTAGTTCCCTCCCTGTGGCCTGGGATAGCAGTCAAGGATGGCCCACAGCCTTGGGACCCTGCACCCATATTGGAGACCCAGAAGGAACTGCTGGCTCCTGGTTTTAGAGTGGCTCAGCTCTGGTTGTGGCTACTTGGGGAGTAAACCAGCAGATGGAAGATCTTTCTCTCTGTATTTCCTTCTCCCTGCATATCTGCCTTTCCAATAAAAAATATGTAAATCTTTTTAAAAATGGTATTTATAATATAGAATGACACCTAGGAAGACAGAGGGCACAGATGTGCTAAAAGCTATTTAGTCCAGCTGTAGTAGATTAAAAAGATTTATATGATGGCCCAAGAGTGTAACATCAGAGAACTATATGAAAATGTATTTCAGGAGGCTAGCAAGATGGCTCAATTGGTTTATTCTCTGATTTCCAGTGCTAGCATCCACATTGGCTCCAGTTCATGTCTCAGCTATTCTGTTTCTTATCCAGCTTCCTGCTTATAGCCTGGTAAAGCAGCAAAGGATAGATGCGGATTCTAAGTCTTACATTAAGAAAATAGTGTGTAGGTGTTTGGTCTAGCAGTTAAGACACAGTAGTACTGTATTACAATGACTTGTTATTTATCAGGCTCTAGTTTCATTCCTGCTCAGCACCGTCATCTAAAAAAAAATCAAACAAAACATAATCATTATGAAAATTATTATATTTGGATGAGGAAATACAATTCTTCGTACACATACACATACATACACATTCATGCTCAAAGACTTTTCCATCTTTAATCAGAAGCCTTTAATAAACCTTTTTCCTGCTGAAATTATGAGAAGGGAAGAAAGAAAAAATACTTATCAGTGTGACCCTTACTTGTCCAAGTATTTTTTCTGTGGATAATTCACTATTCCATCACAATATTTTAAAGTTTATGTTTTCAACTTTTAAGGCTGTAATATGATGTCCTTCATTAATTCCAAGTTTTATGCATTGAAAATGTTAGAGTTATATGAGATCCTCAGCCAATGGCTTCAGCTTCTCTGAACCCAAGATATCAGCTTCAGTAACATCAAATGACAGCTTCAAGAAATAGAATTTTAAAATTGCAACCACAGGGCCCGGCGGCACAGTGGTTGAGGTCCTCACCTTGCATGCTCAGGATCCCATATGGGCGCCGGTTCTAATCCCGGCAGCCCCACTTCCCTTCCAGCTCCCTGCTTGTGGCCCGGGAAAGCAGTCGAGGACGGACCAAAGCTTTGGGACCCTGCACCCGAGTGGGAGACCCGGAAGAGGCTCCTGGCTTCGGACCGGCATAGCATCGGCCGTTGAGCTCACTTGGGGAGTGAATCATCGGATGCAAGATCTTCCTCTCTGTATCTCCTCTCTGTATATCCGCCTTTCCAATAAAAATTTTAAAATAAAATAAATCTTTAAAAAAAAGTTTTAAAAAAATTGCAACCACATTCTTCGCAACCCATTCTAATTCTTTAGCACCAAAAAAGAGAACCTGTGCAACTTAAAGCAAGTACACCTGCCAGATGGGTTCTTAGCAGGTTTAACATGTTATCAACGAATTCTATGACTGTGAGTGGCAGCTTGAAGGGAAAAATTTTTTTTTAAAAAGTCCAACTCAGAAAAACATCTGTTCACCAATGTAGAAAGGAAAGAAAATTGATTTGCTACAAATAAGCATTTTACTAGGCTGTAACACTCACCACAGTTGTCTACTAATAAGCATATGGACAGCAAGAAAACTCAGAAGTTTATTAATTCAACTGGATACAATAGTTACACATCTCCAGATAAAAGATAACTTGTCCTCATATAAGATTTTAATCTTCAGTTCACCTGACACCATGGTTTGGAAGCTGCAGTCCCTCAAAGGTTCATGTTTTTGAGACCTGGTCCTCAATGTGGTAGTAGAAGCTTTAAGATGGAAGGTGATGGGAGGGTGGGGGCTGTGAAAAATCAATTGATCAAGAGCATGTGCCCTGGTAGAGCTAGAGGGACTTGAGTTCTTGCCAGAGTGAGATGTTCAACGAGCAAGTCCAACACCATTGTGTGCTCTGGCTTCTTGTTTCAAGATGAGTTCTCCCTCCAACATGCATTTCTGCTCTTGCCATCTGTGATGAGGTTGCAAACCAAGAAGGTCTCTGACAAAGAATACTATTTTTGTCTCCTCTCAGAGCAAACATCAACTATAAGCACCCAGGGACATCCATGTAGGTTTTCTCAAAACTGTCAAATGGAATGATGGGAGAAAAAAAATGTCCTCTTCCCATGCAAAATGAGTGATCCCAAAAAAGGAAATATCTCAGTTCTTCGGTATCAAGTACCACATAAAAAGGAGGCATTATTTCAGCAACACTTAAAAGGAAAAAGATCTAAAAAGCAGAAACTGAAATTATTTACAAAAAATAAAAAACTAAGAGTTGAATGGAGACTGAAAAAAGGATTTGGCCAAAGAGAAGACAGAGTTCACTGTGACTCTGAAAGCATGAAAGAAAATGGACCTGTAGTTCTAAAACAATTAACACATTGCTCAGGATTAAGATGTCAAATGCTTACATAATTCTGTCTGAATCATTGTAATTTCATTATAGTAATAGAGAAATAATGACGGACTAAGAATGCATATTCCATTCTTAGTCCATCAATCCATATAAACAGAGCAAACAAAACATTGACCTTTCAAAGTTCTTAACAAGCCCCCTTTAAGTCTCGTTAAGTCCATGCCTCTTGTCATGGGGTGCCATACTTATTCAAGTAGCAATAAGAAAATAACATAGATTGAGTGCTTACAGTAAACGGAAGTTCTTCATGGTTCTGTAGTCTTGAAGTCCATGATCAGTATGTAGTGTACACCCCATCTCTGATGACTTGGTTCTCAGTTCTGACCTCCACTGCCCAGAGTGATCACTATAGGAAACTATCTGAATGATTCATGTATTTGCTGATATGTTTTCTCATTCATTGTCTGAATTCTCCAACGCCAGAATCCTTGCACCTGGAAGGACTCCCTGGAGTATAGCTAACATAAAAGTACTTCAAACAATTGTGGAAAACCTTGTAGAAATTAAAGTATTTATTTTAGAGATGTGCTTTGCTTGTGGAAAGGTACTCGGTATTTATGAGAAAGAGAGGTGACATTGTGTCCATTCACAGCAGATAGCGTTCTTCACACAAAAAATTCCATTTTAACAAATCAGCAGAACTAATATGTAAATTTAGTAAGAACGCGATATCTAAAAGCAGTATTTTTTGAGATTTATTTTTATTTAAAAGGCAAATTGCCAAAGGGAGAAACATACAGAAACAACTTCCATTCATCAGTTCCCTTACCCAAATGGCTGCAACTGATGGAACTAAGCTGATCTGAGCCCATGTGTCTTTTCCAGCCTCCCACGTGGGTGCAGTGACCCAAGGTCTTGGAGCATTCTCCACTGACTTCCATGCCATAAGAAGAGAGCTGGATCAGAGGTGGAACAACTGGAACACACAAAACAGGGACCACATAAGGTTCTAGCACTTAGAGGTGGAGGGTTAGCCTATTGAGCCATCATACCAGCTCCAAAACAATATGTTTTAAACCAATAGTATTTTTAGAAAATGCAAAGGGACAGTTAGGAATTATATT